GCAACATGGCAGTGGGGTACAACTACGGTCAAGGCCCGAAGCTGCAGTCTCAGACCGGCAGCCTGGGCCGCATGCAGGTGCCGGTCAACACTTCAGCTCTGGTCATTGAGGAGCTGCAGAGGGAGGCGGAGGGGATGTACACCTGCCAGGCTCTGTATGACACGGACGAAGGGGCCAGGGTAACGTTCTACTTCACCCGGCTCGATGTGGAGGACGACTGATGGCGACCTCAAACGTCTGCTGCATTACTTTCTGTCTATTTTTCAAAAAACTTCAGCCCATGACCATTGTGTGCATAAAGTGATTCATCCAAATGTCCAAAAACATATCCTCGAATGTATTTTTAGTTGGTTTCAAGCCATGCAGATAATTTTGGAACTATTTACACAGGAGTCCAGGTATCTGTCTTAAACTTTGTCAAGTTATAGGTTCTCGGACTTTCACTCAGAGAAACAAAAGTTTGAAAAGTTTGAAAAGTTTGAAAACAAGAAAGTGGAAAGAGGGGGATTTCTACCAAGCACAGATATAACAACTGCAATATATTTAAAACTTAAAAATATTTAAGTATTAAAAGTAAAAGTACTTGCAGAGTGTAGCCTTTTCCCTAATGCAACTGTCTAAGACATCATTACCTGGGCCTATTTGTTCTGTTTAATCGTGAGGAAAACAGACTATGTCATATTAATAAAGCTGCAGATTAATCTACTGAAAACACGTTGACATATTAATTAATGGCTGAGTCTCAGCGGAGGAGGCGGGGTTTAATGGAACCTGCCAACTCTTATTGGATCAATGACCAATAAGATGACCAATTGTTTTCTAATTATTAAAAGTAAAAAGTAGCTGAAAACAAATCTACTTAAGTGAAGTACAGAAATAAAGTAAATATACTTATGGGAATGCAAAACAAAAGTGTAGTCATCTAAAAACTTTTCCATGATTTGGTGAATCACAGGTTTGCTATGTCTTAAAAGAACAATGAAATGAAGCTGTGTGTATTTTTCAGATAAACTTCATCATTGGCTCAAGACAAACACGCAGCAGCTGTTTTTGTTAAATGTAGTTTGTGGATGAATAAGATTCTATTCAGCTCCATTTTTTTAGAGTCAAAAGAAAAACGATCTCCATGACTAAAACCATTTGGGGTAAATAAGAGGATAAATATTTCTGTATATATAACTGATCCTTTAACACCAGACTGGACAGAAACACTTGTCTCCTACATCTTTGTAGATGTATAAACTTACAAAGCGTGACACTGTGTAGACCTGAAGTTTTGGTTTCAATTTCAAACACTTTGCCTTTGTGTATTGATTATTGAAACCATCTGGATTTGTGGGTTCATCAAACAACACTATATTTTTTGTGTTTGTTTTTCTTGAAATATTTTCTTCATTACGGTTTCTGCTTATTTCTAATAACCACCCTGCTGTGTTGTTTTTCCTTCTTTAAGTGCGTTTTTCTTTCTTTAAGTGGGACCGGCACATCTCGACATCTTCAAGCTCGCTCACGGCCACAAACTCTCATTCCTGAATAATTTCCAGGGGGAGTGGGGGGGGGGGGCATTTCAGCCCCTTTGAACCGACAGACACCTTGATGTAAAACGAATGTTCTCTGAAATAATTCATGCATGTTTGAATCAACACACCATTCTACATGTCTGTGCAGAGATATCCTATATGCTGGCTGAATAAATATGACTGCATGGATTATCTTTCTCAGGTTCTCAGAGTTTCTCCTGATTGCGTCGATTTCCCTCATCTCAGCAGCTCCACCCTGACTTGTCATCAATACATTCATTATTGATCTGGAGCCAGGCGACGATGCTGGAATTGTGAAGTCTGTTGACAGGGGGGAAATGGAAGCAGCTGGGATAAAGATGAGGCTGTGTTTGTGTTTTTCTTCCTGATTAAATCAACAGGTGCAATCGATAAATGCAACGGTATCACCACCGCGACAACAAGAAGCATCAGCACCTACATGCACCAAGACCTGAGCCTGATTACAAATAAATAGCAGATATCCTGGAGGGAGGGAGGATATAGGTTATTAGTCTTGTTCTGCGTATGAGCTCATCATCTTGCAGGGACCCACAGGAACGCTCTTGGAGTTCGTCCAACGGCAACATGCTCCACTTGGGGTTTGTGACATCTCAAGGATAAAACCGCCCGGGGGCCGAATCAAGCGAGTTAACAACACACTGCCCGATTCATAAGAAGTGCATCCATTCAGGGTGTGCTGGAGAGAGGAGAGAGGAAGAATGGTGGGCGGAGGGGAGAGGGACCAGCGTTAACAGGTCGGCTCTGCAGCAAGGGGCAGAAATTCCAGGGCGGACAATGAGCTTTCTTGTTCCCATGGGCTCCTTAATGAAGGGGTGTAGCTGCGTGGGTAGAGGGTGCAGGGCCGGGCCGAGGGAGGGTGCCGACTGACAGACGTGGGAGATGGAGAACAGGTCATTTGGAGACAACCCTGCCCTTATCTTCCCCTCATCGGCCCAGCCTGCATCTGTCAGCATCATCTCTCTCTCCTCGGACCAGTTCTCTTTCATTTCCAGCTTCATTTCCTTACCCCATTGTTTTGTTCCCTTTGCTTTTCAAGACTCCAATAAGCTGCTGCACAGAAATAAAACATTAGTTTGGAAAAAATAACAATGAGACTGTGAAACCAAAATCCTTGTCTTTCCATCACAATCGGCCTGGAGCCACTTTTAGTTTTGGATTCACTCCTCAAAAGCAACATCTGAAATAGTGGAGAGTTTCAAGCCTGAGAAACTGTTCCTGGGAAAGAAGTGAGTTTAAGTCAACTGGGCCGACGCCACCAGCCTCAGCAGCACAACAGCCTCCATCCAGACTAAAAATAACAGCCGGAAGACGCTGTGCCACGCCTCAGCAGCAGGCGAGTAAATCCATGTGCCAGGAATAACCCGTATACCAACAGAGAGATGCCAGGCGAGCCAGGGCCTGAGGACTGGCAGCCAACTCTGGCACTAACTCGGAGCAGACAGGCACCAGGCATGGGAAGCCTTCGCCGCAGTCATCCATCAGTGAAGCACGGCCAGCTCTGTCATCTGCCCGCTGCAATCCTATCACGTCCAATCAGCTAGCACACCACGGAGATTATTTTAAAACCAATGAAGGGTTTAAGCCTTGAGAAAACAGGGGTTGGCTAACTCAGGCTGAAACCTGAGGAGTTACAAGTGTTTTATGAATGAGTTATCTACAGCAGGAGGATCACAGCAGAGAGGCAACGCACCTCCTTCTATTTCTAATAAAACACATGTTCTTGACACAGCTTTGCATGTTGGCAGCTCAAATCGTTATTTAAAAAATGAATCCACAGAAATCATGAAGAGGCCTGACCAGTTCTTGATTGTTTTAAAGGCTCACTTCATCCAAAACACTATGGCAAGATCCACAATACTGTTTTCATTTAAAAATGCATCAACTCATTAGTTTTAGAGCCTTGTTAGTAAAAGCTGCTGGCTTAGTTTTAGTTTGAAAACTGCAGGGCTGCTTATTACTCTGGATGGAAAGAAACAAAGACGGGCTGACGAGTGAACATGGATTAGGATTAAAACTGATACGGAGCCAAAATGTGTGTACTACGTAAACGTATATAGCATCTTACAAAAGATATTTTGCTTCTCAAACACAATGTCCCTTTTACTCTGGGTGATCAAAAACATCCACATTCAATGATTCAATGGACACTTCTCCACTTCTTCTCCTTTCTCAGAGCACTGACACAAATCTATAAAGACAAGGGTTTTACCTGAAGGGAGAATTTGTATCTTACCTCCACCAAGGAGCTGATGTATTGTTTGTCTGCCTGATATTTAGCAGGATTACACAGAAACTAGTGGATGGATCACCACCAAGGATGTAATATATTAATCAGGGAAGCAGTCATAAAATGTTGATGCAGATCTAAACAAGGGAGTGATTTCAGGAATTTTGTTTCACTTTTGTGAGATAGTTAATTTTTTCATTTTTGTTTATTTCTCAGGGAATAATTGGATCTCGATGGAAAAACAAACATCATGTTTAGGGGGCTGATATTTATGAATGTGTGCAAGTAGCTGCACATCCAAATAAAAATCTTGCACTCTTGAATTTCAAGGTAACGTGTGTAGAATTTAGTGATATCTAGTGTTGAAGTTGCATGTTGCAGCTAAACATCCCTCTCCTCACCCTCTCCTTCCAAACATGAAAAAGAACCTGTGGTAGCTTCAGTTGTCATAAAAACTCAAAAGGTGTTTAGTTTGTCCAGTCTGGACTAATGTAAAAAACATGGCGGCCTCCATAGAGAGGACCCCCTTGATGTAAATATAAAGTATTTGAATATAAAGGGTCTTTGCTGGGGTAAAGAAAACTACAATTCATACAATTTAGATAAAACAAGCTAGTGAAAACATCATGAGGATTATTCTACATAAGATTTCTGCCAATAGTTCCCTTTCACCTGAATCTTACACACTGGACCTTTAAATGTGGTTTCATAAGCTGACATTTTGGCGGAGGTATGCCCTCTCTAATAAAACTTCTTCGTGGCAGCTGGAGAATTTCCTCTGTGAGTAGTCTGCAAAATTAGTAATAATAATAAATATTCTGCATTTGGAGCAGTTTTTAAAATGCATATGTGTGTGTGTGTGTGTGTGTGTGAGAAAGCTGCTCACGCTTAACAACTCTGTTTAAGTGTAACTAGCCCACTGCTCCGGCAGATTGGGGCCAGTAGGTCAACAGTCCTCTCAAAGCAACGGTGCATTTTGTGTAAAGTGATGAGCTATCAAGTATTCACTGAGGCAAAGAGCAGTCGCCTTAATCTGAGCAGCGAGGGGAATGTTCACCCTGTTCAGGGGTCAGCGCAGGGGAACAGCCCATCACTGAGCCACATCAAAGAGCTGCCACAAATATGGATGGGGCTGGGAAACTCACTGTGGCAATCATTCATCAGGCTCTACACATGAAGGTGGGGAGGAAAGACATCAAAGTAGGTTGTCGTTTACTCTTCCATATCTTCTCTTTATATTATTACAAAACTTTACATGGACAATTGCTAATCTCCACGCTCGGGTGGAACAACAAAGGGACAAAACGACAAAAATAAAAAGTATTTCTCATCCAAATGGCATAAATAATATAAAACACAAACTTTTTTCTTTAAAACAGATACATTCATATGAAATAATATTTTACTACTACAAAAAATAAATAAGTCATCTAAAGAGTTTTTTTTATCTGAGAGTCTTCCCTCCAGTGGGACACAGTCCTTTTCTCTGTAGGCCTCTTTGTCTGGCTTCGCTGTCCGTCCTCTTGTCATCGCTCTCCTTTCCCATGTCGCTCAGTCCGTCAACAGTTTTCTGTCCTTGTCACCGTAACACACAGTGTCTCTGACTGTCCCAACGTTGCTCCTTTCACTCTCCTCTGAGACATTTCCCACAGCTCTCTCTTTCCGTCTGGTTTCTCTGAACCCTCCACACTGCAGGAGAGTGTGTTTGTGTGTGGGCTGCGTTCAGACCTCCTGTGGGCCAGGCTGGATCAGCTCTCCTGCCAGGCTGCTGCTGGAGATCCACCCAGGCTTTTCGTCACAGTCCAAGTCTGGCAGGCCCAGACTCTCCCAGCACAGCACAGGCCCGTCCATGTCCTCGCACTCCAGCTCCTCCTCCGCTGCACAGAGAGAGAGAGAGTGTTGGGTTTATACTTTGTATTAAAAAAAGACGAGGACATATTCAGCAGAAGCCCACAGTGTAATTTGTGGTGATGCAACATAGTTTGTCTGCATTTAACATGAGGACTGGTAATTATATAAAAACTTGCTAGTTTGGCACTTAAAAGAACCGTCAGAGTTGGATTTCACAACTGTGCTGAACCATGTCAGCCAGGAAATAAATGTTTTCACTTAAACTTTGAGACAGAGGCTGAAAAGAGGAGCTGCAGCAATGGACACTATGAGGAAAGCAATGTGTTTACAGAGAATTAGAGCATGTGAACCTTTTCCAGTAATAACACTTATTAAAAATATGAACCAGAAAATTTGCTTCTCCTTGGAAGGAATCAAGCAGAATTGGTTTTTATTTTTGATTATGTTGTGTATTTTAGAAGTGCTATACGAATAAAATGTGTTTTATTATGATCACAAGGGGATAAGGTCATTCAAACCTGATGCAGTTTTTATAAAGTCTATTTTCTATCATAATTATAATCACTATTTGCAACCTTTTAAATATTAAAATCTAATTAAATCCCATGAGCAGGGCTAAGACATACAGTACTTTGAGTCACTCACCAGTATTGTCTGCCGGACAGTTTTCATTGTTCCCAACCAGACAGCAGGAATGCTGCGAGGGCGAGGACTCCCTGTGCTCGTCCGGCTGGTACCCGTCATCAGCCTCCTGGTTGCCGGAGTTCATCTGGCTGTTGGGGTCGTGACACTGCGATGAGACCTGGCCCAGAGGCAACATCTCCAACCCGTCCTGCTGGCACGGCGCCACGCGATGCATTAGAGGCAGAGTGCCACTGGAGAAAGTGCCATTGGTCTTGTTGTAACATCTGCTCAGACGCAGGAGACAGAAGATGGAAAGAAACATTCGTTTACGAGGTGTCGGTGCGTAGCTAAGTGCTCAGCCATGGCGCTCAGCGGTGCTTCACATGGCATCTCACCCCTTCCTCTCTGTGGATATCTGCGGCTTTTCCACCAGACACAGCAAACTCTAGTGCTAATACTCCTGACAGCATGCAAAACAATGACAGCCCTAACACAACTGCAGCAGTCATGCACAGCTGCAAAAAGCATTGAAGAGTTGAACCAGAGATTAAAGGTCCGGTCTCTTTGCCTCTAAATAACTGTGACACATTGTGGTTTCGCTCTCGGGTGAAGTTCCCAAATGCAGACAGTTGCACGCAGCGATCTTCACCACGTTTCCCTAAACTCAGCTTCACTCTAACGGTACATGATTGGACGGCGACCACACCCCCTCTTTTCCCAGCAGCCAGAGGTAAATAAACACTGGGCTCATTAGGGCTGCTGGCTGGGTGCACACAGGGTAAACTGTGATGCTGGGGACCCTTAAGTACATAAACAGGACTAGCGGGAGGGCAAATCGATGTGTCTGTGTGTGTGTGTGTGTGTGTGTGTGTGTGTGTGTGTGTGTGTGTGTGTGTGTGCGTGTGTGTGTGTGCGTGTTTGAGAGATAGAGAGTGTTTGGGGCTGACAGGGGTCACAAGTAAAGTAGGACACTTTTGCTCAACTGCAGCCTATGAAATACGAGCAATATTAATTTACTTTTGTGATATCCTCAGAGACTTTGACAAAACAGATTCTTTTTTGTACTGTATGAATTTTGTTCCCTTACAATCAAAAGTCAAAAAATCAAAATCAAAAATAATCTGAAATAATGTCAACATCAAAGCAACTGTAAACATTGTCTATATTTACATGGAGCACAAATCTGACTATTGATCTTATTCAGAATAAGAGATTATTTGGATTATGGTGTTTACACGAGTAACTAATAGAATATTCCATTCAAAGTCTGACTTAATTCTGCCAACCTGAAATACTTGTTTTCTTTCTAATTTTACAAAAACTATAACTCCTTTTTTATTTTTTCATCTTAATTACCCAGGGCATGTGTCATGAAGTCATACACTGATGTTATAAAATGCTGCAAAAAAGTCCAATAGGACGTTATAATGCAATTAAGTCATATACATGGACTTCTTCTCTTACCTGTTGTTATTGCAGAGGTTCTGACAGCTCATACAATCAGAAGACTCTGTTTGGGGAAGAGCTGTGTACATGCCTCCACCCTGACGAGAGGAAACAAACAACACCTTTAGCCCCTAAATTAAACTTAATCTAATACTTGTACAGCTTGGATAAGGTATCAGGTATCCAGTGTCTAGGTTTGAGGTACTTTGAGGTATCTGAACTGTGACACTCACATTATGGTGGTGGTGCGGGTGCGAGTGCTCGCAGTCTCTGGTGCCGTGGGGCAAGGTGCCATCGTGGCCGTGTGGGTGGCCAGGTGAGAACAGGCCACCGGAGCCGTTGAGCAGCGCCAGGCCGTTGGGGAGTTTGTGGTGGAGGTGGTGGCAGCCTTGGGGCATCACAGGGCCGCTGTGTCCGTAGCCACCATGGACGCCCCCATTGATGCGGCTCGTGCCGGGCAGCGTGGTGTACTCGAGAACGTGGCCGTTCATCTCCGCTGGCTGGTACAGGTATCCAGGAGGGTCATACTCTTCAGCAGAGAAAGAGACAGGAGTTTAAGCTTTTATAGTCATAAAAGTGTACCGTTTGGTTTCTTTTATGCCATGAGAGACAAAGCTGTGTGTATATTATTGCAGAAATTAGCATCTGTCCATAAACTAAGGGGACATGTTGCCAAAAACGAAAACCTGTGACTCAGTCTTTGCTCTTTCTCCCAAATCTTTAAGCTATAAAATCTCAAGTATTTACTGATCCAAACGGTCTGGTAAAGAGTCCATCCAATAATGGCAAAGAGCTTTGCAAGCGCTGTGGGAACCATATCTGTGTTTTGAACACTTGGAATATTCTGCATGAGCTGTGTTGTGGCCAAATATCTTGAAATATGAGAGAACTGGGATGGAGTTAACTCTTAAGCAGTTTTCAGACATGAACTCCGGAGAATGTCCACATAGTCAGGTCCAGACGTTCTCCGGAGGTTGCACGAACAATGCAGCAGGAGATTCTGTACTCAGATGCATTAGAACAGCATCGGTTTTTATCACCATAAGTTCCTTCGTCTGTGTTTTCTTCCATATGATAGAAAATATTGGTTTTCTTTTTAAATTTTTGCTTCTAATATGTGTTAGAAATGTCATCATCTTGCTTGTGGTGAATCCTCCAGACAGAGGAGCTTCTGCTGTGTCCTAACATGAGCTTATTCTTGAGATTTTACAAGGCGGCCGACCAGAGAAACTCTCACTCATTCTCACATACTGCCCCTCTGGAGATGATCCTGAGTTTAGTGCAATTCTGAAAGAAGGTTAAGTTTCTTTTCTGCTTTCAGCAACATCATGCAGTGCAGGGAACAACTCTCCCTTTTATCCATAAACTCACTGTGCATATTGTTCTGCTGACGATTCCTCCACAGGCACATGGCGATAAAAGCCAGCAGGATGAGCACCATCACTACCAAGACGCAGCCCACAATCAGGTACAGCAGTCCGCCAGGGGGGCTGGGCGTCTCCTGCGGAGGAGGCCCAGGTGGGGTGATGGGGTGCTGGCTGTGCGACCCTGGGGACTGGCGTGCTGCAGCAGAGCGGAATGAGAAGATGCATTTACCCGGCAGCAACAAAAAAAATGACACAGTACCAAACTATAAAATACAGGCCATTGTTGTTGGTCTCCTAAAACTCACAAGTCCATTTATGTTGTGTGATTATGGCGATCGTACCCGTCATTTAAGACTGCACTGAAACATGCCTGGACTTTTGATGAAGCATAGTTCTGGTTGCCACAAGTCGTTTCTCATGCGGTAAAGTTTGTGTTTTCTCACCTTTGGTCTCGCAGATCATGACGTTGCTGTATTCGCTCTCTCCGCCGTTGTTAAAGCACTGCATCTTGATATCGTAGGACGTCTCGGCTTGGAGGTGTCCAATCATGTGCCAGTGTTTTACACCTGAGAGGGCAGGAGAAACGGAGGAGGAAGGAAAAAAAGGAGGACAAAGGTAAGACACCACCTCCTCTGCGAGCCAGTGTTGACTCACTTTGCCTGTGTAAACTCACAATCAGTATTTCCTGCCTTCTCCTCCTTCTCTTCATATCTCACACTTTCATGGAGGTCATGTTCTTTCACGCTCTCCGTGTCTTTGTCTCCCCCTCCTCTCTCTTTGCTTCACCCCTCTCTCTTACTCCATCAGTCCCACGAGGGCCCAGACAGTTGTTTTACTCAAGATGAGCTCCATATATGGCAGCTCGGTGTTTGTCCTGGCTGGCCTCCAGTATTCCCATTACACACACACACACACACAAACACACACACCGACTGCTGCCTTACCACACATAATCACACAACTACATGCTCTGAAATCACAGATGAGACGACAATCTCTAACGTGGAAATGCTACATTTCCCACAAATGGGGCCGAAATAAGCTGCCGTGTTTTGCTCGTAGAAAACGACTGCACGTGTGTGTTACTTCTGCCCTGAGCTGGATTTTAACTCTTGCGAGTGGGGACAATAAAAGAGACCTGCTACCGAGGTGAAATCGATCCGCGATGTAAATCACAATCAATACAGAAGCGAATGTTAATTCATATATAAACTTCGCCGTTTACCATATCATGTTGACAGATTCCCGAAAGAATAAGCACTGATTTGGTCATTTGAATAAAAAGACACTCTACATCATTGTCAAGTCTGTGTGTTTAGTTAAAAGGAAGACAACAATGTTAAAATCGGTGCAGTATATGTGCTGAATCTGCCACATTGACATTTTAGATGCTGGAGAAGTTTTTAGATGTAGATCTAGACAGATATAAGTTACATCTGTTTTTCAACAGCATTTAAATAACTATACCAGTGGAAGCAGGTTATAACTACACACTGAAATACAATCATTGAAACTCTGTGGAAACAGTACGCGGAGCCCAGTGGTGATTGTTTGACAAAGAATTTGCCTCTGAGGGTAACGGTCAATATTTCGGGGCTTCCAGAGTAGACAGCAAACATCTGGTCAAAGACTCCTATACTTTTTGTAGGTTATTCAGGTCCAGATGACAACAGCTATCTGTATATGAATTCAGATAAATTAAAAAGCTGATGCATGGTGGTCCAAGTGTTTCACCTCTTTTGTTCTCTACATGGACTCTTTACCTGCAGGCAACCAAAACTGCTCAAATGAAATGACCGTAGTCAAACTACAAACACAAACCAAAATCTACAGATTCTGCATATTGACATGAAGAATCTGTCTATAGAGATTATACAGTACCTAAACAAATACCTAAACTTTGTTTTACTCTGCTCAGTTTGATCTTCAACATAAACTCTACGCTCATTTGTCCCAGACAGTGAGGAGACGATGGCAGGCCAAACATTCAGATGTTAAAACGCTGGGCGGAGTAAAACGCCATCCCTCCTTCCCTTCCTGTACCAGGCTCCTCTGTTAGCATTCCACCAGCAACCTGAGCCCCTCTCCTCTGGCCAGGCTCGTATTTCAGCTCTGGCCCATTAGTTGGCAACCATTTATTAAAAACAGATTTCAGAAAGCCCTGCTGCCCAGGGACAGCACTCTCTATAAATCAAACAGCGGTATCGCCCCTCTTCACTACACCCCACTCTTAACGGAGAGTATCCATTACCCCTCCAGCTCCCAGTTTATCTGCACAGCGTGGGCCTGACGTCCGGCACCGGATGAGCCCGTCAACAAACACTCCACACCAGCTACACACTCATGAAACACACACACAAGCAGTTTCTTTCCACTTACCTTCCACCACATCTCTTTTGTAGTCGCTGTCATTGTCGCTGTCAGTGGGTCGGTAGTAAATGTAGAAACCTTGGATTGGAGTGTTGTTGTTACTCGTGGGACTATACTGCAGGGGGAATGGAAAAAAGATCACGTTAGACTACAGCAATCTGCTGGGCAATTATTAAACGAGAGGAAATTTTCCAGCAACTAATGGCTGAGCTTGTTATCAACAGATGTACAGGGCTGCGAGTGAGGCTGTGATTGTCTGTCTGAAGTTCAGGACATAATGACGCTGTCTGAGGTTAAGTAAATGTGGGGGGAAATATCTACATCCATCTGCCGCGCAAACTGCTGCGAGGAGGAGAAACGGCTTTGAAGAATAAAAACGCAGACGAACAGGGCCTCTTAATCTGTGTTCGAGCAGAGTCCTAATCAGCACAGTCGCTCTGATGGAGACTCAGCTGCCAGAGAAGCACCAGAAGCTCAGACGCAGGTTAGACAGCTGGAAAAGACACTACACACAGTGGTTACCGAATTATACGGCCACTGGATGGTTTGGCAAAAAATCTAAACTTTTTTATTGTTAAAATATTTTAACTTTGTCATTTTATACTACTTATACTTTTATTCCGCACCTACACTTAATTTGGGCTCGAGAATGTCACTAAGAAGAGCGCATTCCTCCACCAAGGCCCAACACACTCATAAAGATAACAGTTACCCAGATCCACGAATTATTCGCAGGGAAAACTGTGAAAATACTGAAAAAGATCTCACAATGTAAAAAAAAGGGGAAAATTATTCCTGGATCCGACCTCTGAACCCGATTTGCACCAAAATGTTCACATCCTTCCACCATCTGAACAGGGTTGAAAACATAACCATGGTGGAGGTAAAAAGCATAACTTGATAACTAATAACTATAGGATGTGACATATATGAGACTTCTCAGAGACAATGGATGCTCAGGAAAATATGCCACATTTTACAAGACTAAAAAGATTTTTGATGCCTCATTCCCCTCAAGGCACAAAGAGGACTAAGAACCCTGAGCAGTATGAACACAACCCATAGGTTTTAAACAAGCTGACTTGAAATTCTACCAATAATCCCCCACCAAAACTGTGCATCATTACGGAAAGTAAAATAGGTCACATCTGTACCAACAGTGTGTGTTTGCCTTTGTTTTGGTTTAAAACCTGTATGMTCTTTTTTTTGTATGATCTTGTCTGATTTAGCAAAGCTGCTTGTTTCACCAAATTAAGGAATTTAACTTTGTGAATTAAATCTCGTTATCAGAATCAGGGTGAGAATTAGGATCGTGAATTAAGCTCA